GCGATGAACAAAATGAACCCGGATAAAGTGAGTGAACAGTTTTTGACAGCTCATCAGCTAAAATGGCGATTCCAGCGTCTTTTCCATTGCTACAAATCTCCATTGTTGGCTTAAAATTCTGCGAATTTGGCGACTAGAAAAAGTTGGTGCTAAAAAAATAACGCGACAAAAAAGGTAATGCTTATATTGTTTTTTGTTAAAAATACTCTTTTATATTAAAGATATTGTTTAATTAATAGCAAAATATGGAAAACCGCAATAGCAAAAGAGTGACGAAGATCAAAAATATATGCTCGTTCAATATTTGGAGGATCATAGAGAATTTGCTCACGACAGGTATGCAAAACATTTTCCCGTAAATGATTTTGTTTAAGTTTTTTCTTTTTTAAGATTCGTCAATGGCACCTGGAGCAAAAGTTTAGCTGAGCAGTGGAACCACCTCGCCGAAAAATTAAATGCTTGCGGAGGATCCATAAAAGATGGTGAAGGATGGAAGAGAGCGTGGGTAAATATGAAGTATATATGTTTTGAAAATGTACATAAGTAGCACTAAGATTCTTAAAATTGTTTTCGATTAATGATAGGAGCAAGGCTAAACAAAAAACCCAAGATTTGAGAAATGCTATGGAGCGAAGCGGGGTAAATTCATCAATTACCGAAAAGCATCTCAGTAACCTCGACGAGCGCATCATTGGCGTGATGACCACAGTGGCAGTGGTCGGTCAAAGAGAAGTTAGCGAGCCACTGGTGAGTTAAGAACATTTCCATTTATAAATTATTTCTATCCATAGATTCGAATTCGATCAAAATGTTTTTGTAGTTTGAACATACTTACATATGTATATATCTATAATTTACATAATAATTTTTAATTACAGAGAAGTTCCGGCGCAGTAACTAGCGTGGAATTATTTGACGCCCCTGTGGACCACTTTGAGATAGAGGTATGTACATACGCCTTGTGATTGTCTTTTTTTTATTTAACTTTTTATTACAGTTTCTTGAAGGAGGCGATGAGGAACCGCAAATGGCACCGGATATGATTCCTCAGGATCCACTTCCACCACAACTTCGTGCTCCCAAACGCAAAAATTACTCTTTAGAAGAGAGCAACGCCAAAATGATACAGTTAGAAGAACGCAGATTCGTCTTGGCGGAAAGAAAAATTGCGGCGCTGGAGAAAAGAAACTCTATAGAAGAGAGAAAGGCCGACGTATTGTCCAATATCTTAAATAAATTGGATTTACTTCTACAAAGGTGATTGGTCTCGGAGTGATCGTAGAAATATAGATATTTGAGCTTTACGGTATGTTGCCAATGAATTATGAACGGTACTCAGACGTTTATATTTTGACGTTAAACTGATTTTTTGAACTTTAATATTTCTTTTATAAAAATATAGTTAATTCAATAACATATACCACATCTATCGTTGCTTTAAACTTTGTGCGAAAGTCGCGAAAAATCAACAAATTACGAAAAGCTGTGATCAAAATTTAAAAGCTTTTATCAGAATTTTTAGAAAATGTTTACGTACGCAGATATATAGCCTTCAATTTCAGTTCCATAAAATGCAAGTTTGAAGTCTTTGGTTTAAGGTGTAATGCATTTTCTTAAACATAAAAAAAATGCCGACATACTTTACGTGGAAGAAAATGCAGAACACCTTCAACCAAAAATAAATATATAAATAAAATATATAAAATATATAAATGCGTAGTAAAAACATTTTTTAAAAATTCTGATAAGTTTTAAATTTTGATGAGTTTTTCGTAATTAGCCGATTTTTCGCGAATTCTCCACAAAGTTTGAAGCTACGATATATGTGGTCTATGTTATTGAATTTACTATATTTTTATTAAAAAAAAATATGAAAGTTCAAAAAATCAGTTAGACGTAAAAATGTAAACATCTGTGTACCGTTTGTAATTCAATGGTCATATACTATAGGTTTAGTTTTCAAAGCTGTAGAACAGCGCGTTATTTTTTACTTATGTAAATAAATTTGGTATTTAAGCTTTAGGTTAAGTTTTCAAGCTGTGGAACAGAATTTTATTGTTTTTATTTATGATAAATTTAAATGAATTAGATATTTAAGCTGTAGGTTAAGTTTTCAAGCTGTAGAACAGCGTTTTATTGTTTTTACTTATTGCTAATGTAAATAAATTAGGTATTTAAGCTGTAGCGTAAGTGTACATGTTGTAGAACAGCGTTTTAATTTTTCATTTATTATTAATGTAAATAAATTAGGTATTTAAGTTGTAGGTTAAGTATTTCAAGCTGTAGAACAGCGTCTTAATTTTATTGAATTTAATGGATTTTGGACTGAAATATGCATATATAGAAAATACTTAATATAAAGAAAATAAACGAATACGCAATTGTTTTTTAAATTTGAGTAAGCGTTAATTGAATTATTTAAAAAATAATAATAATAAATGCTTAAATTAAAGGATGTACCCTAGTGGTCAGCTAATTCATTTAGTTGCATTTTGACCAGTTTTGCCTGTTTTTATATTGTTTATAATGTTTATTTTTTTATAAAAGTCTAGCGCATTATATAACAAGCATAGTATAAACCCACATTTCACACTTTGTACAAAATTTGTAAAAATTGAATTCAAATTAAATTGTTTTAAACCATTTAATTTAGTAGGACAAATAGCAAGTTTCAAAACGCTAGAATTTTTAATATTGTTATTTTTGCTGACGGTGCTAGGTATTTTCTTCCACGTAAAGTATGTTCGAAACGACTATTATATAGAAGAAAATACCTGCCACCGTCAACAAAAAAA